GACACCACAGGCCACACCTGCGTCAGCACGGACTGAAGCGGACCGCTCACCAGTACCGTCTGCATTAGAGTTCAGTGAAGCCACCTCAGGGTGGAAAGGGGACTTCAGTGGGGACATGGGTTCCAGACACGGGTTCAAGCAGAGCTGGGAGACACCGCGGGCAGAGCAGGCTGGAGCCCCGCTGGAGGTTTCACGCGATGCCTCTTCTGACCCCAGAATCCAGGAGACAGTGGCCCCTGAGAGCCACCCGGGGGGAACCCCACGGGCACCCCAGCTGCCTGGAACTGACTTCCCTGGAGCTTGGGAGGCAGCCACCCCCGTGTCCGGCTCGGCAGTAACTACCTGAATGTGGGCAGCCCAGCCCGGGCACTGGTGTCCTGCGAAGCCCATGGGGCAGGAGTCCTGATCCCCACCCCAGATCTGCCTGCACTGGACTTTGTGACACACTGAAGTTCCTTCTCATCTCAAACCCTCTGAGCTTCGATTTTACAAAGGGGCCAGGCTGTTTCAAAGGGTCCTTAGGGAGCAGGACAAGGGGGGGTGACAATGACAGCTGCCTGGAGAGCCTACAGCAACATCTGTGAGTGAGGCAGGACGGTGTGGGGCGACAGGGAGTGGTGGGGACTGTGGCCCAGGAAGGCCGTGGGTCCCTAGGTCAGCAGCACGAGATTGTGGGCACAGGCAGCCATTTTTTTTAAATCCTGTTTTTAAGAAACGTCAAATACACACACACACACACACACACACACACACACACACACATATATATGCAGAATTCATTATGTGAATGTTGTCAAGAGTCTGATATGTTCTGAAAAAAGGCGGGTTCTACAAACTGAGCCTGGTCCAGGCCTGTCCGTCTTACCAGTCCCCAAGTCTTAGACTCCTTCCTGTGGTTTCTCACTTTTCTTTCCCTCCAAAGCCTCCTCATTTCTAGCACCAGGCCTGCTCTTCAGAAAAATGCCACAGGCTGGGTCAGCACGGGAGCCGAAGGCCGGAAACACACACTCTTGCCTCTCTCCTGGGGCGTGGTGTGCTCCCGGGGCCAGCTGGACGGCATCGCTCCCCAGCCACCAGGGACAGCAGATGAGCTGGGAAACCCTTGTCTCCCAGGGTGTTCCTGGGGCTGGCAGGAAGCCAGTCCTGGGTTGTCGCTGAGATTTCCTGCCTCCGACGCTTCTGCAGCAGAGAAGTCATCCTGCAAAGGGGTGGCCAGCCTGCAGCTTCTGAGAGTCACCGGGGGTCCCACGTCATCCAGGTCCTCTGCTGGAAAGAGCGAATGGGGCTGGGGGTCATTTCCCATGCCCAGAGGCAGCCAAAGACTTTTTCTCCTAAAACTCAGGAACGACTCGCCAATCCAGGAGGGCTCCCGCGGGTTGGTACAGACTGCCTCGGCATTTTCTCTTCACTTAGTAAAGCACTTGTGGGACTCCCCTGTGTGCAGGGCCTGAGGGGACAGAGGGGACTGAAATCTCAGGGCGTCACCAGTGCCTCCCCTTGGTCTTCTCCCAAGCTCATCCAACGCCTCCTAGGCACCAATTTAAAAAAAAGTTTATTTTTTGGGGGAGGGGGGCAGGGGGTGGATACCAGGGATTGAACTCAGGGGCACTCGACCACGGAGCCCCATCCCCAGCCCTATTTTGTATTTCAGAGACAGGGTCTCACCGAGTTGCTTAGTGCCTCACTTTTGCTGAGGCTAGTTTTGAACCTGTGGTCCTCCTGCCTCAGCCTCCTAAGCTGCTGGGATGACAGGCGTGCACCACAGCACCCAGCTTACAAAAAGTTTCTCATCCACAGGCACAGCCGCCACATACCATGGTTTCCAGATACCAACCCCCAATAAAAAGAACCAGGATTCCCCTTGAGCAAATTTGAGCAACCACATACACAGTGTGGTATTGGACCATCACTCAGGGTATATCTATGAGTCCATGCTGGTAGACATAAATGGCGGGATAAATACTTAAAAGGAGGCAAAGGAGATGGCTGTCTTCCATAGGACTTGAAATACTATGTGCGGATGCTCCTGATTCTAAAGCAGGCGGAGCCGACCCCGACCCCTGGGCTCGGGCTGGACCTGGGTCGCTCTTCTAAAGTAGATCACAGAGAAGGAGAAAGAGTCACTGGCGGTGGAGAAGCCGCAGACACACAGGCACACGTCCTCAGGGATGGCGCAGGACCTCCTGAGCTCCACTGTGCCGGAGCAGAAAGGGCGCCGCCTCTCAGGGAGCTTTCTTCCCAGAATCCACCCTCTCCATCTGATCCTGAGAAAACATGGGACAGACCAAAATCCCAGAGTACGTGTCTGATATTTGGAAAATCAGCACACTCTCAAACACCACGGAAAGATTGGGCAACCGTCAGACCCAGGAAGATGGAGCAGATGGAGAACGGGATCCTGGAACAAGAAGAAGGCGTGAGAGGGTAAACTGGTGAAATCCAAATAAACCCTGGGGTTGAGTTGGTAGCAACGTGTCCTGTTGATTTCTTGGTTCTGACAGGTGCCCATCACAATGACTGTCAGGTGTTAACCTGAGGGGAACCGAGTGGAGGGAACAGGGACCCCTGTACCATCTCTGTCACATTGTCTTCTTAAAATTCTAAATCTATTGCAAAATAGGGAGCTTAAGAAAAGCATTTCCTCTTGATTAAAAGGGATGACATTCACCATAGAAGGTTTGTAAAAATCCACAAATAAAATCCAGCTGTTGCTCACCGTGCACTCCCTAGACATTCTGGTACGTTAAGTGCAATCTTTTTTATTTTTCATTTTTTAATTTTTTTTGGTATGGGGCTTGAACCCAGTTAACCACTGAGCCACATCCCCGGCCCTTTTTTGTATTTTATTTAGAGACAGGGTCTCCCTGAGTTGCTTGGTACTTCGATTTTGCTGAGGCCGGGTTTGAACTCGCGATCCTCCTGCCTCAGCCTCCTGAGCCACTGGGATGACAGGAGCGCGCCACCTTGCTTGCTGTGCTCTCCGCACCCCGGAGGACGGTCCTAGTGACCGTCTTGCACCCCGAGCCTTCAGGCCTGTCGCCGGTCCTCACTTCAGGCCCTGGACTTGCCCGCGCTCTCGCTCACTCGGCGGCTCGCTCTCTCTGCCCTTGGACCTGACGTCAGGGTCTCCCATGATCTAGACAGAACACTACTCTGGCTCTGCACCTGGGTTTTTTTCTTTTTAAGTAGAACCTTAAGGAAGACATCCACAAGTCCAAGGCTGTGGACAGGACTAAGGTTCTGGATTCAGGGTGAACTTCCTCTCCAAAAGCGTGCGCCCGGGTGTCCACTGGCTTGGTGTTCGGGACGCCTGCTCCTAGGGGCCGGCGGCTTCTCACCAAGGCCCTGCAGGACCAGGCTCTGCCCCCGCCCACGGTGCCCTTCTCCGCTCCTTCTCCGCCTCCCGCACCTTCCTCCTCCCGGCCCCGCGCCGGCCCAGATCCCACCGGCGGCTGACCTCTCGCCCCCTAAGACCCCCTGAACCAGCTCGCGGTTCTGGAAGCTGCGCTGTCCTCTGCCCCGACGCGGCCGCCGGGCTCTTCTTCCTCTCTCCGCGTTTTTATTGGTGCGCAGTAGTTGGCAGAGTGCTGGGTCCCATCGCCACCTGCCCCCACACTACTACCTGATCTGGCCAATGCCGCTCCCCCCCGGGGTCCCCTCCCAGGCCCCCCCCACCCCGCCCCTCCCCCCCTCCCAGGACCTCCCCTCCCCGCCCGCCCCCCTCTGGGGTCCCTCTCTTGAACTCCACCGAGCTCCCTTTGATCTTCATGAGACCCCCCGTCTTTCGCTTCCTTTCCCCCCTCTAGCTTCCACATAAGAGCAACAGGTGACCTGGTTTCACTTGCCATAATGGCCTCAAGTTCCATCCATGTCCCTGCAAGTGACCTACTTTCATCCTTCTTTGTGGCGGAATAAAACCCCAAAGTGCACCCAGCCACACTGTCTTTTCCTGCTCCTCTGCTGACTGACCCCGAGACGTCCCTCCCTTCCCGGCTAGCGCTCCTCCTGTGGACGGTCCTCCTGTGGACGGCCACGTTTGCTTCTTGTGCACCCCTGAGGGGCTCTGGGCTGCTCCTCCCGTTGACTTGTGACTCCCGTTGACTTGTGAGTGCCCTGCGCACGCATTTGCTAGAGTCCCGGCTTTAATGCCCTAGGTGTACACCTGGGGCCGAACTGCTGGCTGGTGGGTAGTTCTATGTTTAAAATTTTGAGACGGCGGCACTTTCCCACAAAGCTTCCCTCGGCTCTACCTGCCCAAAGAATTGATTTTGCCAGGCGCCGTGGCGCAAGCCTGTACCCACAGTGGCTCAGGAGGCTGAGGCAGGAGGATCCCAAGTTCAAAGCCAGCCTCAGCAACTTAGCGAGGCCCTAAGCAACTCAGAGAGACCCTGTCTCTAAGTACAGAAAAAGATTAGGGATGCGGCTCAGTGGTTAAGTGGCCCTGAGTTCATTCCTGGAACCAAAAAAAATTTTTTTAAAAAAATTTTGCCTGTTTTCCCTCCTACAATTTATAAAACACCCTATCAAAGCTCGGATTCAAGCCTAGGACTTCTGCCTCCAAGTAATAATGATTTTCATTATTATTTGCACTGCCCCACGTGCTGCCAGTCACCTCTACCACTGACCTCTTTTCATAAATGAGGTGCCCAGGTTAGGCGCTTGTTCAAGGCTATCAGCACCCGGTGATAGAGCTGGGCTTTGGATTCTGAGTTCGGACCTACTTTGTATTTCTAATGGGACAGACAGGGAAAAAGGGACGGCTGGAAGGAGAGGGAGGGGCCTCTCGTTCCTGGGGATTCTCGCAGCCTTGCAAGTCCCCAGGCTCGCACCGGAGGGAACCTCTGAAGCATGTGAAGCAAGAAAGGAGTCTCAGGATCTTCGATTTGGGCATATTTACTTGGGCTCTTTATATATACATGTACATATACTTTTTTTTTCATGATAGGAGGAAAGGGAGTAAATGACACTTTATTTGGGGGTCTTTTCCAAGTGTATGCCCTTTAACAAACCCGAGCAGAGCAGGCGCAAGGGCTGACGGGGGCGGAGCAGGTGTGGCCCATCAGGCGGGGCGTGCTGGGGAAGGCCTTGCGCATGGACATGCACCTCTCCTTGTCGATGCACAGGGTGTTGGCCTTGATGGCCAGCTTGTGCTCCAGCCGGGACTTGGTCGTCACCAGCAGCTGTATCGTGTCCTGGGTCTCTCGCAGCCTCAGCTTGAGGGTCTGCAGGGTGTCGTCAATGGTGAACGCCTCGTTCAGGAGCCTGAGGAGAGGGCAGAGGCCAGGGCCAGGTTGGTTGGGTCCTTCAACACAGACGCACCCACCATGGGGAGGAGGAGGGCTGGTGTGGGAGTCTGCAGTGATGGGGAGGAGGGCTGCAGGCCTTGAGGGCACCACAGGGGAGGAGGGTTGCGGGGGGCCATGGACATGAGGAACAGGAGGGTGAGCAGAGGCTGGGAAAGCAACATGGCGGCTCCTGGTAAGTTAATCATGGACTTTCCATGCGGCCGGCAATTCTACCCCTGGCCTGTAATCAAGAAAAAACTGAAAACGGGTGTTTGAACCAAAAGGTATAAATTAGCCCCGCTGTTCACTACACCAGGGGTGGCAACTGTTAGTCCAGTGTCCACTGACAGTTGAATGATGATCATACGTGGCAGGGCTGTACTATGAAAGGGCATTCAGCCATAATTAAAAGGAAGTTTTGTTATGTGCATCTTACATAGGATTCTGGCTATTTGGAAGTAGGGTCTTTGCAGACATCCTTCAGTTACGGATCTTAAGTTAAGCTCATCCAAGGACAGATCTCCTTGTAAGAGAAAGCAAGGGCCTCCGGGGATGGAGGTGCCCAGGAAAGAAGGCGTGTGAAGATGGAGGCAGAGACTGGGGTTGTGGCGTCTCCCAGAAGCCCAGGAGAGGCACTGCACCCTGACCCACACTCATGGGCTCCCCTTCTGGGCCACCATGAACTTTCCACCCCCTCCCATGTCCACAGAAGCAGGCCTCCTCAGCTAGGCAGGACAGGTGGACTCCACCCAGTGAGGAAGGA